CAGGAGCGAGGTGCGGCGGAGCCCCAGCGGCGGGAGCTGGGGCGGGTGCGGCGGAGCCACTGTGGCCACTTTGTGGAGGTGGCCCGGGAGCTGGGCGCGGGGGACACGCTGCAGGTGCAGCTCAGCGCCACCCTGCAGCGCGGGTTCCTGGCACCGACCCTGCAGCTGTGGACCGTGGCCCCCGGCCTCACCCTCTGCCTGGAGCATGTGGAGAGGCCAGGCGACTGCTTCTCCGGCCAGATGCCCCAGGCGGGGCGGGACCGGTGTTCGGACGTGGACGAGCACTGCCGCGTGTGGGGGCCCTTCTGCTCCCTGGAGGCGGCCACCAGCGCGGTCTCGGAGAATGACTCAGTCACGCTGCAGCACGTGCGCATATCCTGGGAGCGCACGGCGCAGGGGCGGCTGCGGGGCGCCTTCTGCCTGGAAACCTCCTTCCTCAGCGAGCACTGTGCCGACCTCAGCTTCAGGCACTGCTACCTGTGCGTCCGGCTCGAGGGGCTGCCGGCTGGGGCCGGTGCTGGACCCGGCCAGCCTCCCCCGGCCGCCCCGTCCTCCAGGCCCAGCAGCCTCGGGCCCTTCCTGAGCATCGACCCCGACACGTACACGTGGGTGGCCCACGGGCTGACGGAAGACTGGGACCTGAGAGAGAGCCAGGCGGACCGGCAGGAGATCCCCAAGCAGGTGCACTTCTCCGTCCAGCACATGGCCATGGAGAAGGTTCCCGAAGAGGTGCTGAGGCCTGGCACCCCATTCACCGTCGAGGTGCTGCCCAAGCAGCTTCCTGACATGTGAGTGGCCTCCACAGGGAGAGGCCGGTGGGTGGGGTGGGTGGAGAACACTCTGGGTTCCCTCGGCTGGTAGGGCGTAGCTGGTGGGGCTGCGGCCCCTCCCCAGGGGGGGCCCGTGGAGGTTCTGGTGTCCACCCTCATTGCCACCTGCCCCCAGCCGCAAGGAAGAAGCCGTGTGTGGGCTGAAGGACGCGTCCCCGCTGGTCATCAGCATTGCCCTGGGCCAGCCCATCCCTCCGCACTGCCAGCAGACCCTCTGCCGGGGTAGGTCCCTCCGGCTTCCCCCATGTCCCTTCGTCGTGCCTGAGCCCTGCCCTGGGCCCCTGCTCAGGGAGGCCTGGCCCTTCTTTAGGGACCTACGGCAGGCTCCTGGAGAAACAGACGTTCGACCTCCCCGGAGGCCGCCACACGCTGAACCCCAGCCAGAATGGAGCCATCAGGGAGGCTCTGAAGAAGCAGTTCACTGTGATCCAGGGCCCTCCAGGTGGGGCTCACGCTGGTGGAGGTGCTGCTTCCGGCTGCCCGGGGCGGGCCCGGGGGACCCTGTTCATGGTGCCCTCTGCCCGCAGGCGCAGGGAAGACGGTGGTGGGCTTCCACATTGTGTTCTGGTTTCACAAGTCAAACGAGGAGCAGGTGGGGGCCTGTGCCCCCCCCAGTGAGGAGAAGCAGCCGGGGGGGCCCTGCATCTTGTACTGCGGCCCCTCCAACAAGTCGGTGGACGTCCTGGCAGGTGCGCTGGGCTGGTGGTGTGGGGGCTCTGCCTGGGGGTGCTGGCCCCGGGGGACGGTCCCTCATGCCCCGCTGCCCCCAGGACTGCTCCTGAGCAGGAGAACGGAGCTGAAGCCCCTTCGAGTGTACAGTGAGCAGGCGGAGGCTGCGGACTTCCCGATGCCGGGTGTGGGCGGCAGGGGTCTGCCCAAGAAGAGCCCTCGGGAGGGCAGTCCCAACCAGACGCTCAGGTGCGGTCTCTCCACCGTCTGCCTGTGGGTGGAGGCGAAAGGCCCCACCGTCCTGTCTCGGACAGGGGTTAACGCGGGGCTTCACAGATGTCCCCCCCGCACCCCAGGAGCATCACCCTGCACCACAGGATCCGGCAGGCTTCCAACCCCTATGCACCAGACATCAGGGCGCTTGACGCCCGGCTGCAGAAAGGGGAGATCTTTTCCAAGGAGGATCTCAGCTGGTAAGCAGTTAGGGGCGTGGGGTTTGTCCTCTGCCGTGGAGGTGGCAGAGGGAGGGGGGAGGGGGAAACGGTGTCCCCGGATGACCACACGGTGACCGCACGCAGGTACAGGAATGTCCTGGGGAAGGCACGGAAGTTCGAGCTGGACCGGCACACAGTCATCCTGTGCACGTGCTCATGTGCGGCCCTGGCCAGCCTCAAGAAGCTCAACGTCCGGCAGATCCTTATCGATGAGGCCGGCATGGCCACAGAGCCCGAGACCCTCATCCCGCTGGTGAAGTTCTCGAAGGCTGAGAAGGTGAGTGAGGTGGGCGGGGAGCCGGAAGCCCCAGGCAGGCGTCCCTGGCGTGGTCTTTCGCCTAAGAGGGCAACACCGCAGGCAGGGCCGAGTGGCAGCGGCCACGGAGCTGGGTACCTCTGGGTCTGGGGGGTGTCAGGACCACACCTGCCTGTCCCTCCAGGTGGTTCTTCTCGGGGACCACAAGCAGCTGCGGCCTGTGGTCAAGAACGAGCAGCTGCAAAATCTGGGGCTGGACCGATCTCTCTTCGAGAGGTACCACACGGAGGCCTACATGTTGGACACACAGTACCGCATGGTAAGCCCGTCCCAGCCTCTGCCCCTCCCGCCCAAGATGTGACCCGAGGCCAGGGGTGCCACAGGTGCTGCTGCCCACACCCCTACCTCCTGTGTCCACCCTGGCCTTGTCCTGGGGCCACAGCAGGCCCCCCCGAGACCCCGGCCCTCGGCCCCAGGACAGGTGGACAGGAGACCTGCTCTGGCTTATGCCCTGCCTTGCAGCACGAGGGCATCTGTACCTTCCCGTCCATGGAGTTCTACAATGGGAAGCTGAAGACCTGGCAGGGCCTGAGGCGGCCACCCAGCGTCCTCGGCCACAGTGACAAGGAGAGCTGCCCTGTCATTTTTGGCCACGTGCAAGGCCATGAACAGAGCCTACTGGTGTCCACAGATGAAGGGAATGAAAACTCCAAGGCCAACCTGGAGGAGGTAACAGAGGTGGTGAGTGTCGGTGAGGCCTTTCCTGCTGCCCCTTGGTCACGGAGGGCTTCCTGGAGGAGGAGGCAGAGGAACCGAGGGAACAGGTGAGGCTCCGGTGCCCAGGGTTAGCTTCGACAACACCCTCTTGGTCCCTCAGGTCCGCATTGCCAAACAGATGACCCTGGGCAGGACAGTGGACCCCAAGGACATCGCAGTTCTCACTCCCTACAACGCTCAGGCTGCGGAGATCAGCAAGAGTCTCCTGCGGGAGGGTGTCGCTGGAGTGACTGTGTGCTCCATCTCCAAGAGCCAGGGTGAGGGTGGCTCTGGGGCAGGGGGCACGTGGGCCAGCGGGTCACGAGGGAGGATGCAAGCAGCATGGTCAGCGGCAGCTGACAGGGGCCTCAGCATGCCTGCCCAACTGCGCAGGAAGCGAGTGGCGCTACGTGCTGGTGAGCACGGTCCGCACGTGCCAGGAAAGTGACCTGGACCAGCGGCCGACTAAGAGCTGGCTTAAGAAGTTCCTGGGCTTTGTTGTGGACCCCAACCAAGTGAACGTGGCCATCACCCGGGCCCAAGAGGGGCTCTGCCTCATCGGTGGGACAGCTTGGCTGGCGGAGGGCTGGGGCGGGGCTCCCCCCTGGGGGTGCGGCTGCTTGGC